ACACAAGTATTAAAATTTTTTGTTTGCGGATAAATCGTAACACTTTTTAGCAAAGTCCTCAAATTTTTTGAGAGCTTTAGATTTATAGTATAAAATTAAGAAACTAGGGATAGTGTTTCCAAGTTAGTGTAAGTATAAATCAAAACGAGCCATTCGAGGGCCAATAATAGTCCTGAGCGGAACCTTTTCGGGGACATAAAAGGATAATAAAGCGGATATCATATAAGAAAATTATAGCAAAAACGCGATTTAGCTGTTTTTAGCAGGTGCCTAAAAAACAAAGAATCTTCTTGTACGCTCGCCCAAAAACAATTTTTCGTACGACGACAAGAATATAAGTGAGCCGTAATGTTTAATGTTTATTACTTTTTATGAAAGTGTGGCTCGTTATCTAGCAAAGGCTATGAAAGGCAGAATTTGAAACTTTGTACAAAAATTAGCAAAATTCGTCAAAGTCTCATAAAACTTTTGAGCTTTTTAATTAGATTTCTTAGAAACATTCTGAGTATGCAGTTTTGTAACTTATTCAATTAAAAGCGCAAATTTTAAATAGCTAGGACTTACCGTTGCTATTTGGTATATTTTATGAAGCTGCTACTCATTTTCTCCATACAAAAAAATTGCTGAACATAATGTGTATGGAAGAAAATGCGTGAACAAAAAATTGACAAAAATCGACGGTAAGCCCAAGCTTCTTCCAACTTGCACTTTATTATACTAACATTTATTGGGCTACAAATCTGCATACTCAAAAACATTAAAATGTTTCCAATTGTGATAAGCATTAATTAAAGTTCGTCGAATTTTGATAAATGTTCTACAAATTTTAAAATTTTGATTTACAGTTTTTTTTTAGATAGTAACTTATATTTTCATAAGAAAACAATAAACATTTTATTTTTTTTTGTTTTTCTGTTTTAAATAATACGCTATTAAGCCTTTTTATTCTAAAAACAAAATTGTATGTTTGGATTCGATGCTTTAGAAATATCTCGATTTTTGGCCACGGAAATCTGGTCACCGTACTTATAGGGCGTTTGGATTAATAATTACTATATATGTGTATATGTATACTTGTCTCTTTTTACGCGGATTTGAATTTATGCAGTTTTTCAAACCATTATTTCGCAGTAGCGATTTTGCTTTTTTGAGATTTTTTATTATTTTTTTCAGTGTGTAAAAGACAATGCTTCTGATAAATAATTTGTCTTTGTATTCTTACATAATAATAATAATAATAGATTGGCGCTTACACATATGTAAGTGGAGCTTCTCCTCCAATTTGTGGTGTGCGCCTTGATGTTGTCACACAAAGGGGAGGGACCTACAGTTTTACACCGACTCCTAAAGGCTGTTTTTCAAGGCAGAAATACACTCGGAGGTTTGCCATTGCCTGCCGAGGGGCGACCGCTGTTAAGAAAAAACCTTTTTTTCTAAATATTTTTTTATGTATTCTTACATAATTCATGTATTTATTGTGGTATTTTAATTTTTTTTTTTGCTTAAAATACAGATACAATTTTATTTATGTCATTAATGTTCGGTTTTACATGGAATAATAAATGTTGAAGTGAAGAAATAAATAGTTGTTTTTTGCTCAATAATGCCTCACTGGATTTTTTAATGCGGTTTTTTAGAATTTTTTACATGGAGTATCTGAATTTATGCGGTTTTTGAAAATGCTGGAACGCATTCCCTGTTTTTGTATAAAAGTAAAGAACTTTTTTATGCGGCTTTCTAAGGAACGCATGTACAGCATAAAAAGAGACCTAAGTGTACCTATGTATGTATATACCATAGGGTGGTACAAAAATGAATGTGAAAAGGTAAAGTCGGAGAATATGCTCTCACCCCCTAGGATTGTTCTATACCGAAAAAATATATCCCTATTTGTTATTTTGAAATGAAAAAATACTTAAGAGTTCGCTCAAAGCGCTCAAAGTTCTCCCTGTTTTTTACATAAAAAAAACCAACTTTTCGTATAAATAGTATAGAGTTTTTGAAAATCAATATTTTTTGATCGGAAAACTCTGTTTCTCTTCAGGAGATTCCCAATAATAATATCCATTTTTTTATTTAATTTTTAATTAGACAATTGTTTAATGAATTTTACTTTAATAGGAGCTTGCAAAATTTGCAAAATCTCTTCACGTATATACAATATAATTAATTTTGCTGACTATGTTGCATGTGTCGCACTTGTCGCTTGTGTTGACATGCATAGATTTGCTGCATGATTTGATTTCAATTTATTCGACACTGTCTTCATATGTCATTGTGAAGCATATATGAACTAAAGATGGGCACGGGCCGGGCTTTTTGCAGAGGCCCGGCGGGCCCCTTCGTAAGCCCGCGGGTACGGGCCGGAATATTTGCTGTCAGCACGAACTCGTGCGTTCATAGGCGTTCAGTAAAATTTCATGAAAGCACGAATAAGCACGAAAAGGCCCGTTGCTAATACTACAAATTTAGATAAGCTTTTGTTTTTATACAAAAAAAGTAGTACATATGTATTTAAAACTCTTTTGATAAGAGAAAACGAAAAAAAGAAATATTTGGAAACCGATAGAAAAAATAAGATACTTAGTAGTTTTGTTTACATAGCAGTACATAAAATACCTTCCACTTTTTCTACTTCCCAGAAAATATATTCAGCCTTATCATGAGTTTCATTTTCCCCGAACCGGTTCACTTTTCATATTTGGTTTCCATGGTTTTACTATGGGCGGGTGAATTTTTTTTCAGGCGAAACTCAGGGTAAGGCAGATTATAAAAATCTTTGATGTAAAAAATTGATTCGCTTAAGTAAATATACATACATAAACACAGAATGAAAAATATTTACATATGTATACATACAATAAAAGTTGGCTCTTTATTTCCGGGCTGGCACGTGTCCCGTCGTGCCGGGCCGAGCCGGGCCCCACTAAAATTCTTAACGCGCGAGCTCGTGCGTGTTTTTGAAAGTTGATTTTGCACTCGTACCGGACCGGGCCTGAAAATTTAGGCCCGTTCCCATCTCTAATATGAACGACATAGTTAAAGGATTCACAACTTTAAAAGCTTAAATAAGTGTTTATAGATCTTGAAACCTCAACCATCTACTTTTTAACATTGTGAAAATGCATAACATGACTTTGATGATACTTTGCTAACCCCATTAATATATTCTTTAGGCGTTTACAGTTTACGACATACAACAATACGACACTTACGACACGGTTGTGAATACCCCAACTATGAACTGGCAATAGCATGATGTGACACATGTCGCTATGTTTTATAATTCAACATTTGCAGGCCTTTATTGTTTATGTACCGGACTCTAAGATTTTTTGAGCAGTGTGGCTAAGGAATTCATCAATATTTATTACAAAATTATATATACAACCGCTTTTTGGCAAAGAAGTGTTTTTTTTAGGAAATTTTAGGAAAATGGGGGTGACAACGTCCACTTATATCATATATTTGTATCTCACTACTTGACCGATCTCGACCAAATTTGATATGCACATTTCGATAAGGCTTCTTAAGCGCCGTATTGAAAATTTTTGAAATCGGACAAAAACCGCGGGCTCCACCAACGTAACGGGAATTTCAAAAAACTCAAAGTAAGCTATATATTTTAGAGGCAGTAGGTTTTGTCCGATTTCAAAAATATTCAAGACGGTGCTTAAGGACGCTAAGCACAACGTGTGTACGAGATTGGTCGAGATCGGTCAAGTAGTTTTTGAGATACGCATATATCACAAAAATGTGGGCCGTGGCACCCCCATTTTCCTTAAATATCCACAGAACCCACTTATTTGATAAAGAGCGATTGTAAATATCAATTTGAATAAATATTCTACATAAAAAATATAAATTCAAGGCCGTATTTAAGAAAAGTCGCCTAACTTCGACAATTTTTATTCTATTGCAATAAATGAGCTATCAGTTTATTTAAAAAAAGATTTAATTTTATTTAAATTTATTTTGAAATTGTGGAAATTGTCGATGGCCAAAATTTAAAAAATTAAGAGAAATAAGTGTTTTTTATTTTACCGGACAAAAAATTCCAACAAACCAAGTCCGACAATAGATTATTATACACCATTTTAAAGGCCTATATACCCTCTTCTCATATATATTCGATCTTTGAAATCGAATCAAAAATAGTTATTCAAAACCTCATAAATCTACAAAATCGTATTTTCGGACCTAAATGACATTTAAAAAATCTATAAAAAATAGGCAATAATATTTCTCATAAAAACGAATAAAATTTGGGGGAAAAAACATCCTCGATGGACACCCTAATGTACATATGTACGTATAGACAGCTCGATTCGACGCTCCCTTAGTTCAAGGTAGTATTTTGCAAGTGCCAGAAAAAAAGGTCGTTTGGTTAAAATAGTACCAAATTTAGTGCTCCTTTTCGTCCAGAGAATTAATTAACCCTTACAGGGTAACCTTATTTTACATATTTTAAAGGTAATCTTCGTCGAATCGACGAAGTCCTTTTTATTTTCCATTTTTTGTAGGAAAAAATGTAGCATACATACAAGATTGCCAAACAACGCATGAACAAAAATTTTTTCAAGAAATCGAGGTGAAAAATCTAAAGTTTTTATGGAATTTTTGTTTGTATTTCTTGCATTTGCAAAATTTGGTATGGAAAATATAATGAAAAAAAAAATTTTAGAACGTCAGGGTTTTTATATTTTTACGCTGAGTGTATATACATATGTAACTCTACTTTTCGTATCAAATTTATAATTCAAAATTGGTGAGAACCTGAGAGTACATTTTTTTGGTACCTTTTCATGAAAATCACTGCAATAAAAAAGTAGTTTCTCAAAGAGGCAAATTGAATTTTTCTAATGGAGCTTAAGATGGAGATTAGAGCGAAACGATCGCGAATATATAACACCTTTCTTTGTATCACGAGATCTACATACATACATACATACATGTGTCGCTATTTGTGTAATAATTGTTTTTTTTTTATATTTTTACAGCTGCAATAAATGCCAATGATGACAATCGGCAGCAACAGCAGCATGTTCCACAGCAACAACATGTAGCCACCGGCGTGCAGCAACCCCAACAGCCTCAACAACAGCAGCAGCAACAACAGTTACTGCAACGAGAAAATATAAAAGAGGAGAAACCCTTTTTAGATAACGGAAAGTTAAATCAATCAATTGTTATGCAACACGTAAGCGCTTCGGCGTCGTCCGCGTCGACGACGAGCGGTGCCACCACTATTACTTTGGGTGCACCGAAAACCGAAGTAAAAGAGGACGTTGGAATGGGCAAACCGCCGCCGGGCATTGAAATGTATAAAGTTAACATTGAGGATATCTCGCAGCTTTTCACCTACCACGAAGTGTTTGGTAAAATTCATGGTGACGTAATGAATCAGCAGTTGGCTGCACACGCAGTACCCAACGCTGCTCAGCCACCACCACACGGCAATGCAAGCAATAATGCTGCTGTTGCTGCCGTAGTTGCCAGTGCTAATGCTGCTGCTGCAGCAGCAGCGGCGGCTGCGGCTGCCGCAAATACAACAAGTGGTGTGGTGGCACCCACAACAACGACCAATCTAACGACGGCAATCAGCACAAGTGGTACAACGACTGCACCAGCCACCGCTGTAACAGCAACACCCACGGTGACCGGTGAACTGCTGATGCCAAAAATGGAGGGCGGTCTGCCGGTTGTGGATCAGGCGACAACAATCACACTCGCACCTGATGGCACACCAATCGCTACAGGCACGCATGTTTGCGATATTTGCGGCAAAATATTTCAATTTCGCTATCAATTGATTGTACATCGACGCTATCACAGTGAACGTAAACCATTCAATTGTCAGGTGTGTGGGCAGGGCTTCACTACCTCACAGGATTTAACGCGCCACGGTAAGATACACATCGGTGGACCAATGTTCACATGCATCGTTTGTTTTAATGTATTCGCCAACAATGCCAGTCTGGAGCGGCATATGAAACGACATTCAACCGATAAGCCTTTCGCATGCACGATTTGCCAGAAGACTTTTGCACGCAAGGAGCACTTGGACAACCACTTTCGTTCGCATACCGGCGAAACACCGTTCAGGTGCCAGTATTGCGCTAAGACATTCACACGCAAGGAGCACATGGTAAATCATGTGCGGAAACACACGGGTGAGACGCCACATCGTTGCGATATTTGTAAGAAGTCCTTCACGCGCAAGGAACATTATGTCAACCACTACATGTGGCACACTGGTGAGTGGTGGGGCGCGTAATGCCTTCGCAAATGAATCCATTCTCTTATCACACAATATAAAAATATAATTTGAAATCAAGTTAATATGAAACTTAAATTAATGCGTAACAAGTAATTTTGATGCAAAAACACAACCGACTCAATGCTCATACAAAAATGAAGGAGTACCGTTAATTTCTTCATGATCCAATGATCGGAACTAAGCCGAATTAGTATGGGACCACGTTTGAGGTATCAACTTTCCGATGAATTAAATTATAAAAAAAAAACATCGAAAACTGCCCACTTGGTCCAAAGTTATCAAATAACATAGATACATAAACAAAAAAAATATTTTGATGAATTGACAACCTTCCTCTTTTTCTTGAAGTCGGACAGTGTGTAGTAAGGAAAAAGCTATGTGGACAAAATTTATTCCCGGATTTCTAGCAAAGGGTAACTTATTAACATTAAGATATTCCCAAAGCCCTGACTGGCAAATTTTTTTATGTCCTACATTCCGCTGAGGGGTGTGACATTGTTTAGAAATCAATAAATCATTTAAAATGTGAAGCCAATCGAAATTCTAACACCAAATTTGGTGTCCGATATGAAAAAGAATGCCTCATATATATGGTATATATATTATAAGATAGAATAATAGTAGTGTTAGAATTGTAATATGTTATTTGATTATTTGTAGGGATGCATTTTAAAATTCTTTTATGCCATTACAGTGTCTTAATGTCGTTCTATTTTAATTTGGTAGTAAATTGAATTATATGCCGAGATTCTGGGATCCCGAGGACTTGATTCCGGGATTCGGGTAGGTGTTCTGGTGGCAGTGTCACACAATTGGGTATTTACCAAAATTTGGTGCAAATCGTATCCCAAATATTTTTCTTTATACCAATCGCGAAAATTAATTTGTTGAAATTTTTCAGCAGGACATCGCTGTATTGTACCAATCTTTTGACTAAAACAAATGTTCCCATTTTTTTATTTTGTACCAATAGCCCAATATCAAATGTACCAATCTGTACAAATGTACCAATCGAGTGCCACTGCCTTAAAAATTTATGCAATTTAAAAAAAAATTCAACAAACTTTCGTACAAATTTCGAGCTTTTTTAAAAATTCTGAAAAATCAATCGTAGTTTTTAGCCATTTGCAACTAGTACTTTATTCTACTAGAATTCAATGAGCTACAAAACTGCATACTCCGAATCTAATTAAAAAACTCGAAATTTTGCATAAATGAATTTATCCCATAGTGATAGAAAATATAGCTTTCCGAATTCTAGCAACCGAAAATTTTGTTAAGTTCGCAATAATTCCAATCCGAAAAGACTGATGAAATATCGGAAATCAGCGCCCTAAATATACCCCAAAAATGTCTGAAAATAATTTTGTCCACCTAGCTTGTTGCAGACGACACACTGTGAGTCGGTTAAAAAATTTATTCACGTTATTCATTGCCATGTGATTTCATGTCTCGAACACTCGTTCCAAAATGGCAGAAACTAAGCCAAACTTTACTCGAAACAAATTTTCGAGTATAATCTGTGATAACAAACAGAAGTTAACAACAGTTAAGGTAACAACATAAGTCGAAGTTTACGCAAAACTGTTCCACGATTTTTATTTTTTATTTTTTGCAATGAGCTTCATTTGATTTCTTTACTTTATGCTCGCTGTTTGAACTTATCTCCAGTTTTCCTTCGAGTAGCTTGTGGAAAAAACTTATTTTTAAATACGATTAGATAGGGAATTTCAGGGAAAAGTGACATCATAACTTATTTACATGCGTGTTGAACTTGTGTGGAGAAGTCCCTGGGTAGGCAGTGTTTGCGCTTCTCTCCGCTTTAAAAATGTGAATGAAAGAATTGACCAAAGAAAATTTACTGCTTAAACGCTAAAAATCGAAATGAACACCGCAAACTAAAAGTCATTGTTTAAACGCACGAAGATTCCACACAAAATTTAGAGGCGGAATTTGGTTTACACACCTTTAAAGATCACTTAAAACCGTTAAAGCTTATTCTCTTAAAATAAATTAAAATGTATTATATATTTAAAAAATAAATTTAATATACATATGTCCATATATATGTACATATTTTGAGAATAATGCAGCGTTTGTGCTGAAATTTAAATGCACATTTAGCAATTTCGAAAATTTGGTTTTCGAAGAGTGTTCAAAAATGTACAACTACGCTATTTTGAAATCACGATTATTTATCACGATCAAACTTAATAGAAAAGCTACTAAAAAAGGATTAAAAAATTAAACAGAAAATATAAATTAAGTTACAATATATAACTTGTATTATATATTTATTTTTATTAATCCGGACTAACTACGCATTTGATCTGATGAAAATAGTACCCTGCAGACGGCATGTAAAGTATACAAGCAGGTTCTTCAATTCACTTCCGATTGAATTGCAATCTAATTCGCTTTGAATTCTAATTGGGCGGGGTTGAAATTCACTCGGAAGTGAATTGCAGAACCTGCCTGATAATTCCTGCTGTTAGATGAGAATGAAGAAAACATGTAACTGTTATGCTTTTTTTCAAAAGAGTCAATAAATAATAGTTATTTTTACTGATATGTTTTAAGTCAAAAACAAAAGTTTAAATTGGACTTAGTTTTTCGGTGAAAATATATAAGTTACAACTTGACTTTTATTTTTTCAGTCGAAGAAAAAATCAAAAATAAAAGTTATAAATTTTTTGCTTTTGTATTTGATTGTAACCCTTAGACAGCCGGTTTCACCAGCAATTTAAATGGAAAAGGTTTTTTTTATTTTCTGTCAATTTCCATAAAAGATTCAAAAAGATTAAAATCGTTTTTCACTTAAATTGCTGGTAACGAAACATGCTAGGCGACGCAATAAAGCAGAGTAGATAAATGTCGAATGTATTTTTTTTCTTTCTGCGAAACCGTTATGACCAACATCGCTGTTTTTTTAAGGACTTCGATGTTTAAACATCGACGCTTTCAGATGCTATGTACCAAATATCGATGTTCTTTTTGCATCCCTATTTAGCATTGAATTTCAGAACATTCTGCATTGTAATTGCGTTCTTTCCTAACTGTGCGAAATGAGCAAATCAAAGCCCAAAAACGCTATTTGGACTTACTTTAATAAAATTTCATCGACAGAAGCGGAATGCAATATTTGTGGCAAATGATTAAAGATTTACAAAAATTGCATCCTCTTGCAACTACTTTATAAAACATGAAAAATTAATTGCGAGCAGGATATTGATTAAAAAATAGTATGACATTAGTCAGTCACTAAAATCCTGCAATAGAGCGCATCAGTCACGCGTTGAAGTTATACAAAATCTCTGCATCGTGAGAGCATTTTATAAAATCTGAAACTCAGTTTACAGGTGCAGATATTATTGTAATTACAAAAATAATAGTCAGTCAGAATTTTCCTGTAACAGATGCCGTCAGTCGTCTATAGAAGGATGTGCTCCTGTAATACGGCGCACTCAATAAATATTAAAAAATTATTTTTTTTTTTACTTTTGAAAAAAACATATACAATCATGACATGTACAATTCGATTACTTCAATCAGAATCGCCAGTATTATTATAAATTTCGTCAGGCTCATCGTCATTCTCTTCTCTGTAACTCACTGATGACCCAGCATCTGAATATTAAAAAAGAGCAAAATGTTTCATTTCAAAATGATTACATAAATAACCAAAATAAACGTGCTTATTACGTTAAATACATTACCTGCATCATAATTTTCCTCAGTTATAACGTCTTTCACAAATGGTAAAAGTTGTTGCCCTTCAAACCTGTCGAACTCATACTGACCGTTTTTTTCTTGCCAACCGTTTTCCACAGCCACCTTTGTTCAACCCACTTGCGGTCGAAATCGGAAGTCGGTAATACGACCAAAAGATAGAGTATGCCCGACCCGGTCGTTCATATTCTTGCGTTTTCCAATAACAACAATTTCCTCCATTTGTTTACATATGTACGTACAAGTCAAAAATTAAAAAGTATGCATACATGCATATGCATATACATATGTACATAGTAAATTATATGCTTATTTATTGTGGATGCACTTTACGTGCAAACCGATATTACATTTAGCACACAATTTTTGCGTACGTTGGTGATAATAACCGACCGGGATTTCGGGACGTCGTTGGTTCAATCCCGGTATCCCGGGATTTTCGGAATGTCGTTGGTTCAATCCCGGTATCCCGGGATCAGTCCCGGGATTTAGATATTTATTATTTTTCAATGACTTAACATGAAAAAATTGCATCGATATGGTTTGAGAAGCTCTCTTACTATGTAATAAATAATAAGAAAATGGGTTTGGAACGTACTTTTTTATTTAAAGTAAAAATGATTTCATAACTAACAAAACGACAGACAGTAATTAAATTTATATGCATTTAATAATACTTTAGTGTATACATATCTGATAAAGTAATTTAAGGTATTTCGAAAACAGCTCGATGCAAAAAAAAAAGTCAATAAATTTATTTTCTGGTTGAAAGAAGATCATAATTCTAGTGGCAGAAATAAAAGAAGCGCCTTAATTCGATCAGTTTTGTCTATATTCCTTTTGTTTACCCAAAATTTAAATTTCTTTTATAAGACTACTTCATATTACACATAATTAACTGCATATGTATGTATAAAATAAATGGGCATATCTCTGACGTCATGATTTTTTTAAAAAGACTATCGATCCCTAACCGCCAAAATAACGTAAACGACATTTTTTTCAAAATTTTCTTTTTGATGCAGAAATATTCCTAAAGCATCTAGATGCATTTCTGCATCGAAAGGAAAATTTTGAAAAAAATGTCGCTTACGTTATTTTGGCGGTTAGGTCTCGTTATAATTTCAAAGATATGGTTAATTCCAAAATTTGTTTTAAAAAATTCAGTGCAATGAATGATTTTTTTTTGGGTTCACAAGGACGAATAGGAATTGAAAATGTCCCTATAATCTATTTTATTTTTTTAAG